AGAGACACAACTTAATTCATGTCTCAATATTAGCCCCAAAGCTTTACTCAGTAAATGTTTCACAGGTGCTGCTCTGGTGGTTAATATCAGACATGACCCGTCTAACCACAAGGCTCTAGATCAACACAAAAGACTCAGGGTCATTGTTAATGGTTTAAAAACTGGCCTCTTGGAAAAAAAATACAACTTCGCAACGATATCTTCAAAACTAAGTTTCTCATTACAATATTTTATAATAAACAAAGCCATTATTATTTATATTTTATTATTAAAACACAAGTCAGACTTTCATTTCCATTAGATACTATTGTAGTCCAGACAAAACATTTTCTTTATTAAAAATATTGAAAATCTGAGAGTCCTTTTAAAACAGTTTAAACACACACAACAGCAGCAACCCATAAAACACAGAGCAGCTTCCACAAACTATTAAAACTTGATTGATATCCATCTGGTGCACAGCACCGTACGTGTAAATCTGCCCTGCACATTAGGTGATACATTCTGTTTAAGTTGGTGCTTACAAAAAGTAGCAGCTTTGCCATTAAAAACATATTTTGCTCTCTGCCTGAGAACAACAATGTGTTACGGTTGTCCATAGGACAGTTGTAAGATTTTGTCACTTGGTATTGACTCAACAGTTTCTTGACAAGATGAGACGTATTAAAACTAACCATTGTCCTCATTGTTAGTTTGGTCAGAAGCAGCTTAGTTTGTCCATTAGTGGAGAAAGTTTGCGAGGTCCTCATGAATCTCAGCCTCATCCCAGGGTCCTTGGATGTTGTCCTTGTGCCTCTGCAGCCATACGAGCAGCAAGGGACAGAGCAATGTAACGCTAACTAAGGCCAGGGATAAGAGCACGGCTCCGCCCTGTGACTGGGATGCCAGACCTCCTACTCCTCCAATACACACTACCACACACACTCCAGTGAACTGGCGAGGGGCGTTCTCCCTCAGACGCTGCAGCAGACAGGGCCATAGGGCAAACACCAGCAGTGCACAGGTAAGCATGGTAAAGGTGTGCAGAGCGCCAGGTAACCTCGAGGCCAAACACACAGAGGCAAAAAGGGCTGCATTTAAGGAGAGACTCCCAGGAGGTGAGGGCTTGCCATATGGGAATGACACAAGGTGAGCCAGCAACATTACAGCAGACATAGCGTACACCGTGTCTGTGCTCACAGATTCTGTTAAGGTTTTAAGAACTGGTGAGAAGCCAAAGGTAAACGAAAGGAAAAGGGCAGCACTCTGCAAATCTGCCAGATGCGTGCGTTTTTCACTGCAGGATTCATCTTGAGAAGTCAAAGCCTGGTGGAGTCCATAACCCAGCAGGGCACTAACAAGGCTGGTCCACAGCAACATCTCAGGGGCCAGAAGATCCTGTGAAAACACATATTTTTTATCCCTTTGACTTAATTGAACACAAAAAACACAAGAAGATCAGAGACATTCTGTAGTCATACCTGTTCCATGTAGAGCCACAGCGTGATAAAAACAGCCACACAAGACAGCTGCTGTCCTACAAAGCCTGCTTCTTTCACCACAGCCCAGTAGTCATACTGACGGATGCCCTCATTCCTCCGCAACTCCTCCAGGAACCTCTGGTCCACGTAGTTATCAGGAAACGGCTGGCGTTCCCACAGCACCTTCCGCCAGTGCACAGACTGACCCGGGACACCATCTGCCCCCATTCTCCTGTTCACACACACACAGTGGAAGAACATATTTAATACACTGATCAAAGAAGCTGATCACACATTTTTTAAACAAGCACACACCTTTATAAACAAATCTAGAACAGGATGTGAGGAAACCCCAGTTTTAGGCATCTCTGATGCTATTTCAAGTATAATCTGCTTACAGACTAACTAAACCATACTAGTTTTGTATGTAATGTGTACTTACTGGTACGGTTTATACGACTTTAGCATAAAATACTATTCATGCAAGTGTATAAATCTAATTACAGTATTTGGTCAATACATTTACAAAATATGCACCGATACATTAACAAATTAACCTCGAGTCAGAAACTATCTCCACCACAAAAGACAATTACTGATTAACACACCTAAAGATTTAACAGCGAAATAAATAATCAGGTTAAAGTACATTTTACTGTTCTTTTGTTATATGTTTTGTGAATGAACTGAAGTAGCAGGTCGGCTAACAATAGCTGTTCTTCCGGTTGGTGTCGCGCAAGTATAAACAAAGACATTGTCTGTAAACACAAAAATATATACAGCAATATCTCAACAACCGGTTAAAATGTCTAGGAATATTTTAAAAAATGTTATCCACTTACTTCGGCTAAACTCTCTGCGCTAATGCACAACTTGTTCACCTCACTGTCCCGGTCCGGAAGTAAAAAAAAATCACTGTGGCAGTGCTCAGCCACAGCGCCCCCTGCTGTTAGACACGTGAAATGCCCTTGATGATACATAGAAATGCATAGATATAAACACATGGGGTATGGGTATGGGGTTGCATGAGCGCTTGTGGCATGGGCAGCTTGCATGTCTGGAAAGGCACCATTAATGCAGAGAACTATGTTCAGGTTCTAGAACAACATATGCTCCCATCTAGACGTCATCTCTTTCAGGGAAGACCCTGCATTTTTCAACACGATAATGCCAGACCACATTCTGCAGCAATCACAACATCATGGCTACGTAGGAGAAGGATCCGGGTACTGAAATGGACAGCCTGCAGTCCAGATCTTTCACCTATAGAGAACATTTGGCGCATCATAAACAGGAAGGTGCGACAAAGAAGGCCCAAGACGATTGAACAGTTAGAGGCCTGTATTAGACATGAATGGGAGAGCATTCCTATTTCTAAACTGGAGAAACTGGTCTCCTCTGTCCCCAGACGTCTGTTGAGTGTTGTAAGAAGAAGGGGGGATGTCACACAGTGGTAAAAATGGACTTGTCACAACTTTTTTGGGATTTGTTGACGCCTTAAAAATGATACATTCTCTCGGTTTAAACTTTTGATCTGTGATTTGTGTTCTATTCTGAATAAAAGATTAGATGTTGGCACCTCCACATCATAGCATTCAGTTTTTATTCACAATTTGTTTAGTGTCCCAACTTTTTTGGAATCTGGTTTGTATATCTTGTGTATGTTCGTTTGTACTAAAACTCTGGCACAACAATTTCCTGCTGGATCAGTAATATTCTACCTTTCCTTACCCTATAAAATGTGGACCACCAATGGCAACAACTCAGAACCTGTCACTATTAAAGGCGAGTCAAAGTTCAACCACACAGCACCATTTTAGACAGCCAGTAGTTATTATTGGTCATAATCATTTATTGTGTTACACATCACATACATTAGACTTTACCTCTGATGAACATAATCTATACTGCACAGGAAGAGCTAGTGTCTTAAGTTGTAATACTTTTAAGGTTGATCTTACAACTATCCCTTGTCGTTTGCCTTCCTTTAGGCTCTCCAGAACTCCACCATACTTCAGAAGGCCATTTCACTGCAACACGACCACGTCTCATCAAATCTTTGCTCCTCAACTCAAGAGCCAGCTCATTACTATCATATAAAGTTCTTGATTTATAGTCATCTTCACAACTGGCTGACAGACTGAATATCATTTAGTAAGAACACAAAAGAGCACACAGATCAGAATTTATTATTATTTTTTTTTTTACACATGTACAAGTACAGAACTTTAGCTGAATAAATATGTTCATTCAGCTCCACTGATTTATGGCTGTAAAAATATTTTCAGAGTGTACCTGCATAGTAAAACTCCTCTGCTCAGTAACATAGAAATGTTTTTACAAATGTCAAGATTCCTCCTGGATTTCAAAAGCACTTCAAATAGTACTTATATAAATGTCAGAATTACAACTTAGTCGTGTTGGTATAGGAACTTAAGTGATGAATGTGCTAACTGTATGTTATGTCCTAATATGTGTAATTAGTACACAAACATTTGTTTTTTTCCCACAATAAGGCTCTGTTCAGTAAATAATGAAAGCATGATCTATTTCTTGCACAGGTTAAACTCACAGGGTGACAGCATGAAGCTTCCACACAGGAAAGACAGCAGCAGTGAAATACAAATATATAAACTGTGTCTTCCACAAGTAGAAGTGACAGATGACTCTTTATAAGTGCTCCTTTGTTCTCGTGTTGTCAAAACATTTCTGGTGGGACCTCTGTACAACCCATCTAACACTTCAGTGTCCAAAATTTAAGAAAAAATAAAATGTATTGTTCAATGGCATGTGAGGCAGTGCTAGTGTTAGTAAAAAATACTGTAGACTGAGCAAAGAGAGCAGATGAGGCTTGAGCTGATTAAAGCGACGTGGTGGCAACGACCGTCCAGATGTCAGTAAGATTGAAATAGACTTCTGTTGCCAGATAGGCAGGCTTGATCTCTTTACAAAAGTAGGTGGCTGTAAGCGGACACCCACGAGCCTTCACAGCTCAGGCCACAAATCAAAGCCCAGGCTCAGCAGTCAGACCTGATAGAGATGCTGTGTTTCTTCTTGTCACACAGCCCAACCCACACACGTCACAACTGAGCATTCACATAGAAGGGAAAGACGGATTAGGCAACATATCTGTCAGTGACCTCAACCACGCACAAAGCTCAAGTCAAATAATACAACTTTACATTTGTAAGAGTAACATTTAGAAAAGGTATGATGAGACTGGTTACATCTCCCCTTCCTTTTGGCAACAATAAATTAACTGCACACAACTTCTTCATCCACTCCAGCTCAACTTTCAGAAACACTTGTCCTAAAATCAAAAAGGACATTTTTTGCAAATTGGCCAGAAGCCTGTTAGAAAAATAGTTGCATCATAAATATGTTATTCTTTTAGTTAACAATTACAGCAGATAGAAAATAACTGTAATAATGTACAACTGTAAAGATACATTTCTTTTAGGTTTTTTTCTAAAGAGACAGGATGAATGAAGTGTAAACTGTGGTGATTGTCATATTTTTGTGTGAAACATTATGAACAAGTAAAAAAAAAAGCCTGAAAAAATATTTGTAATAAAGCATGTTAGTTTCTTGTTTTCTGTCCTTCACATACAGGCGGTGTTACGTGCGAATTTTCCTTTTGTCTTCAAACAACGAGCGGACCAGATAGACCTGAACCGCCGACACCACCATCATCACAACGAGGTTGACCACAGACCAAAAGTTCACCCGTTCAAAGTTACTCTCCTGGATGTTTCGGTCACGAGCCTCGAACGCTCGCAGCATCGTCTGGATCTGCGCACTTTTGCCCAGCCGAGACTTCACGTTGCTGATGGTGTCCTGGAGGAGGAATAAACAAGTGTGAAAACGATTTGACGGCAGAATTCTTTCAAAAGATTAAAACAAAAAAAACCTCAGTCAGCTGAAAACCAACTTTTCTTTTTTACATCTAAAAAAAAAAAAAAACAATTTCCTGCCTCTGAACATGTCATGCCTCTGACTTCTGACACAAAGCTGCTGCTTGAGAGGGAATGGGAGGGAAAATGGTTATTGTCAGCAGATAAGTAAAAGTTCATCACATTCTATCTCTTTTTGGGACACATTGTGCCTGAGGGTTGTTGACTGCATGCTTATTTGTGGGCAACGTGTTGAGTCACGTTTCATTCTGGAAGCATTAGTAACAAGCAGATGGAAAAGCCTAAAACGTGAGAATTAAAAATAATGTGCTGGTGAAGATTCTCATCATCCAGGACATGGTAAATCCAAACAAGGCTAAAAGCAAAAACAACTGGACTTTATTTGTAGTTGTTCTCATCCCAGGAGCTTTCTCAGGAGTCAGCCTCCCCACCATCAGACATCTACACCTCCAGATGCATGAAGAGCGCCACCTGCATCATGAAGGACCCCACTCACCCAGCACACACACTTTTTGCCCCACTCCCTTCAGGAAGGAGGTTGAGGAGCATTAAGTGTAGAACCACTAGACTGAGGAACAGCTTCTACCCTGAAGCTGTTAGACTCATGACTCTGTAACCTGGATTATCAATGAAAAAAAAAATCATTGTAATGTCACTTGATTGATGCTATGCGCTGCTGATTATCCATGTTGCTGATTTATTTCATGCTGCTGATTTATTTCATGCTGCTGTGTTCATTCGTACTCATCTGCTCACACAGACTCATGTTCGTGCTGCTGCTGTTCGGCGTATTGTTTTTGTACTATTAGTGCTTAGTGTATTCTTAGTTCATATCTTAGATCTTATTACTGTTTTTCTTTACAATTTATAATTTTGTTGGATGTAACTGGGATGCTGTGTACACAATTTCATTCCACCACATGTGGTGCAAATGACAAATAAAGAACTTTTTACTTTCTCAATTCAAAGAAACAAAGAGTGTGGGGTTCAAGTTATAAAGCTGAGGTGTTCTGTAAGCTTACATATTGCAGAATGACCTCGCACTCCTCACAATAGAAGAACGTTAGAGTCTTTGTTAGACTCACCCACTGATGGGTCACTCTGGTCTCATGGTTGAAATTCCTGATAGGTGTGAAATTGACTGGGTATCAGGCCTAAAACTGAATTATAAGTTTTAGAAAGTTGACATCTGAGACCTCCTCCGCCGTTTAAAGATGGTTTCTCTCGTTTTACATAAATTGCTTCCTTCACCCCCTCCTTTCAAACCATCTGTCTTCTCGGACCAAAATGTGCACATTTTGGTCCTCAACAACTGAGTCTTGTCCTCATGAAGTAGCTCTCCTGTGTTGAGCCATGTGTCTGTGAAGAGGCTGTTTGGTTTCTCCAATATAGAGGTCTGGACAGTCCTCGCTGCACTGGACTGTATAAACCACACGCTCTGTTTGTGTATGGGTGTTTTGTCCTTAGGGTGGACCAGCCTCTGTCTGAGAGTCCTGCTGGGTTTGAAATGTACTGGGATGTTGTGTTTGGAGAAAATCCTTCTGAGTTTATCTGACACTGCAGCAACATAAGGGATGACAATGTTTTTCTGTCTGTTCTCCTTATGGGGGCCGAGATGGTGTAGAGGCAGGGCAGCCGGCTTGGGACCCGAAAGTCCCAGGTTCGATCCCCAGTCACTGCACATCACGTGGGGTCTCTGGGCAGCACGCCTCACCCCCAAAATGCCCCCCGGGCGCTTTCAATAGCTGCCCACTGCACCACCTGGTGGTGGATGGGTTAAATGCAGAGACTAATTTTGCCATTGTATGGAAACGTACAGTGCTGACATTGTGATGACATTATTATTATTATTATTATTATTATGTTTTCAGTGGTGTGTTTTGTAGATTTTCTCACTGACTTAAAAGCCCAGCTTGGATGTCAGTTAGTCTTCAGTTACAGAACAGAAGTCCAGTTGTTTTTTTGCTTTGAATCTGGGTTGGAATTAAAAATTATGTTGATCAGATTTACATTTTCAGATATGCTACTCGTATTAAATCGTCCCCTTGTATACAAATCCTTAACAAAAAATGTGCAGCAACTGTCTGCACCCTCACCATGAGGTCTTCCAGCTTCATGCCCAACATATCTGACTCCTGGACAAACTCCTTCCAGTCATCTGGATCTTCAGTTGTGTCCATGTTGTCCAGGATCAGTTCGAAGAAGATGAGCTTCTCGGACACAGCACTGAAAGTGTTGTCAAAGCAGAACATGTAGTCTCCATTCTCCAAAGCTTCTACGCTGAAAGACAGAGCAAGAGATAAGATATTGAACATAAAAACTTAAATGAACACCTGTAGCGTCTGGTCTCTTACGTGTGGACACCGTCTGACTTGTGGTGGTCGCTGAACAGCAAATCGCCAGAGGGAGAAGAAATTAAGAAATCTACATCAAGGCCTGCACCATCTAACACCTGCGGATGGTACAAGAAGAACAATTCAAAATAAAATTTAAAAACCCAAGTCATCCTAAAGCTTATTCATATAACTTTAGATTATTATGCATGCTGTCTACAGATGATAAAAGTATCTGCGGGTACAAATGCTTATGATTACAATTGTACATCTCATTGGCAGATGTCTCAAAAAGTTAAATTTAAAGTCTGAATAAGGCTAATTTTTCCATCCTTAAAAGTTTTCCTTATTCTCCAGTGAACTTAAGCAGTAACACTTGCTTTTTCACAGCAGAAACCACAGTATTTGGGGAATAACAGTGAATTTACCTTCATGACCACAGCTGTATACAGTTGTGTGAATTATCTACACAAACATTCATTTGGTGCAGTAATCAGCTCTGACAGGCAAAACAGGTTCCCAGACTAAGGTGTGAGCTGCAAAACCAACTGGTTCCAACTATGCTCCATGCTATAAAACTGTGTTGAATACAAAATGAGCTCTGCAACATACACAAAAACTATAGAATCTGATTTTATTTATTTTGCTCGTTTTTTTTTTCCAACTCAGGTTGATTTTTAGAAAATGTGGACAAAGATGAAAAGTTTTTAGCTTGTTATAACAGCTGAACACCAAATTAGAAAAATCGTGTGACCTGATATTCAATTTCCAGTGAGCCCTCTGCCTTCATGGTTTGGTAGAAACACTCCTTTCGACCCGCAGGTAGAGTGAACGTGAAGTCGCTGTCCATAGCCTGGGAGAAGGCAGCCAGCACCACGAACCTGTCCGACACGAGCGACACAAACACGAACAGCAGACACAAACACGGCCGGACTGGCTCCATGCTCAAGATGACGCGTCACAAGGTCCAAAATATCTAAACAGTTTCATCAAAATGACCACTGGCTCTAAAACAAAACCCTAAAGTATTTTCTACGTTAGCCAAAAGTTGACTTCTGTTGAAATGTTCTCTTAGTCAGAGCAGCTGAGAGCTCAGGACCCCGCCTGATTAAAATTACACTTACTACAATTTTACAATTACTTATTACTACTATCATTTTCATGCTCTGTATCATACTTATTTTTTAATTGTATTTAAAAATTTTATTGTCGCATCAAAGAATTAGCCTCACAGACGATAAGAATAAAAGGCTAGTTTTCGCGTGCCTATGTCAGTTGCATTGTGGGATATCTAGTTCTAACTTATGCGATAAAAGGAGGATGTGGCGAATTTATTTTTCATAAACAGAACCCTTTGTTATATTTTTTCGCTTTTCTTTTTCTTTTTGTTGTAACAAACCCTTTATTATACGAATTTGAATGTATTTTGCGCATTTGTTAAGAAAATAGTAGTGTTTGACTAAAAAGTACTCATTTATTTTACTCATTTATACCATACCATACCACTTTATTTATAAAGCACTTAAAACAGCTACAAGGCCAACCAAAGTGCTGTACAGACAAAACAACAGGTAACACACACACAGCAAAATACAAAATGAGGTAAATCAGAATATAGAAATAAAAACGATGCAGATAATGACGACAAACCAGTGTGGAGCATACAGGATCAAAACACAGATCATCTTGTGCTGAAAGCTATTGAATAGTAGTGAGTTTTTAAACGGGACCTGAAAACCGAGAGGGAGGGGGCCTGTCTGACAAGCAGAGGTAACTCGTTCCAGAGTCTTGGTCCTGCTACAGAGAAGGCCCTGTCACCTCTGCGCTTAAGACGAGTTCCTGGAACTGTGAGGAGCAACTGGTCCGCTGACCTCAGGGAACGCGGTGGGACATACGGTTGTAGCAAATCATAGAGATGGGGGGTGGGGACGACACTGTTCAGTGATTTGTAGACATACATGAGTATTTTGAACTGGATTCAAAAGTGAACCGGTAACCAGTGCAGTGAAGCCAAAACTGGTGCAATGTGCTCTCTTTTGCCTGTCCTGGTTAAAAATCGGGCTGCTGCATTCTGGACCAGTTGTAGTCGTGCAATGGAGGCTTGACTGATACCAAACAGGAGCGAATTGCAGTAATCAAGCCTAGATGTAATGAATGCATGTATTACTGTCTCCAGGTTATTTTTGGACAATATGGGCTTCAGTTTAGACAGCCGCCTCAGTTGGAAGAAGCATGATTTAACAATCATGTTTAAATGATTGTTAAGCTTCAGGGAAGGGTCCATTATCATGCCCAGATTAGTGACTCTTTGTTTTTCTGACAGGGTTAGAGCGGAGAGGTCGATGCAGCGGTTTGTGATCGTGTCGTTGGGAGGGAACAACATGACTTCAGACTTCTTTTCATTGAAACTTAAGAAGTTTAAAGCCATCCAGTCCCTGATGTCAGCCAGGCAGTCGAGCAGAGGTTGAATAGAGCATGTACCATTGTGTCTTAGGGGGAAGTAAATTTGACAGTCATCGGCATAGAAGTGGAAGGGTATGTTGCGTTTCTGGAAAATATCACCAAGCGGCAGCAGGTATAAAGAGAATAGGAGGGGACCCAGGATGGACCCCTGCGGAACCCCCCATTTAAGCTCTGCCTCTGCGGAACTAAAATCCTTGATGGAGACACAAAAGGATCTGTCAGCGAGGTAGGATCTGAATCAATTGAGGGCTGATCCTGTGACGCCCACCCACTGCTCAAACCTAGCAATGAGGATCTCATGGTCGATGGTGTCAAAGGCGGCTGTGAGGTCCAACAGGACAAGCAGCACAGAATCACCAGTATCTGTGGATATGAAGATGTCGTTAAAGACCTTCAGCAGGGCAGTTTCAGTGCTGTGGAGAGGTTTAAAGCCAGATTGGAAAAGCTCTAAGATGGTGTGATCCTCCAGGAAGCACTTCAACTGGGACTCGACTATTTTCTCCAGTACTTTAGAAACAAATGGGAGTTTGGAGACAGGCCGGCAGTTGGAAACGACTGAGGGGTCAAGGTTTGTTTTTTTATGTATTTATTTAACATTCATTAACCATATTTAGTTTACTTTGTAGATTGCAAGACTTTTACACCAATATTGCCATGTCTGTGGTTATATATTATTATTCCTTTGTTTATATATATTTTGTAATGTCATCTGATATTACTTATTGTGTTGAAGATCGTTATATGCAATGTTATTTGTAAAAGAAGAAAAAAAAAAAGAAAGGCGAAGTAAAAACAAAACTTCATAATATGTTTTTTTTATTTTAAGGCAGCAATCATTCAGTAACTTTTTCTGAATATATTGAAGAATGCATATATTTTGTTTAAATTACTGTTTTTGCTTCATGAATCAGAAAATTTACTTTGAAAAATTGAGCCTATGAATTTGGGACTCAGCCAAATTAAAAATAGTTAAATCAAATGAATTTGTTTAGTTGGTTAGAAAAATCAAATAAAGGCGGTTCAAATAGTCATTTATATTATTAAAAGTTTTGTTTCCCCTAATCCAATAGTATTTTTTTTTCTTGCTGTAAAATTGTATTTGTGAAAATCTTACCGTAATAAATGTTGCTGAAAAGATTGCAGTTTTTTTTTATCAAAAGTGAATATTTACTATGCATGTAGACTCCAGCATTGATCATTTGTGTGTTTGTTTCATTTATTTGTTAGTGTTAAATATATGTTAAATCTATGTAATGAATGTTTGATGTGTGTACAAACAGGTATCCTAAAAAGGTTCGTATTGGTAAGTTGTTAACTATTACAGTTTATCCGGAATCGATGTCTGCGCTATTAGATAACACGTATTTTACTGATTCGCTTATCAAAAACGTGACGCGTCCAGCTGTACAGCTACCAACTCATCACCGACGGAGGGGGTGGAGTTTCTTTAAATACGACGTTCCTACGTCTCTTGTGATTGGTCAACAAAATACTTTTCACTGATTTGATTGGCTATCCGCTTAGCGAGGGTTGAACCTCTAACAGGAGCCAAGCAACTCGTCCACAGCAGTGGCTGCCGAAGCAGAAAAGCGGGCGGACAGTTGCTCTGCCACACGAAGTACAGCTTTCCCAAAGTGTAGTTCTTACCTTTAGAGGATTATCATATACATATTTTTAAAATCAAAACAGCCATTAAAGCCACATAGAGCTTGTGTAACCGTGACATATTAGAGGAAACCTAAAGCGCGAGGATGTTGGTCCCCGCGGGAAGATAATGAAGAGGCTGCGCGTTTTGTTGGTGAGCCTCATCGTAGCTCTCCTGTGCTGGTAAGCTTGGCCTGACATTTTTCATCCATAAAAATAACCACACGTCTGACGAGAAACGGCTTTAAGAATATGTCAACCACGTTTTGTGATAATTTGGCCCCTACAGGTCGCTCCACTCGGCGTCATTTTCTGTGTGTCACTCATCAGTGTTAGAAATTCAGAGTGAAGCTACATTAGCTAAACATTATCTTCCTGTGACAACGTGTGGCGTTCAATATATCTGAATGTCAGAGAGAGAGAGAGCCTCGGATTATTGAAATCTGTACTACTTATAACTAAGTGATGATATTCGTATTTTAAATGTTTTTTTTATTGAGTTAGGGATTGAACAAGCTGTTAGCATCTCGGTAAGCTAACAGGGAAGGCATATGTTTCTTAGTTGTCACCTTTATAACCTGAATCATTCCTGCATGACGTAACTTCACATTACTAAACTATCTTCCAATAAAGATTCCCCCCCCCCCCCCCCCCACAGTTGATTTAAACCCTGAATAAGATTGATGAATAGTACAATATCAAATTTACTAGAATATATGTTTGTGATGAAGAATACATTTGATGGGTTTTTTTGGTCAAAGTAATGAATTATTTAAACGGTGTATTGGTTACAAAATAATTTAATTGCCAGATAAGAAAAGCTACAAAGATTTATAAATTTATATGAAAAAGTTGCACAGTACAGACGAGTTGGTTTCTTAAATTAATGATTGTTGTTCTCCAAAGCACTTGCGAGTCAGGTCTTGTCCAACACAAATGGTTTAGCCTCAGCAGCACACAGCAGGTAACAAACAGTGTGCAGGGTTTGTTGGATTGGATTAACCATCCAGCCAACATGCCACTTTTATCCAGATTGGTGACTCAGGAGCTCCTATCCATCCAGTCTTAATCCCGCAGGCTGCATGTCTCTCTCTACTTCCTGGATGTTTTGTTGTTGGAACTGCACATGGTCAATGATTTTAAAATTAAAAGCATGTCTTGTGTATGTTCCTTTGTACTGAGACTTTGGCACAACAACTTCCTGCGGGATCAATGAAGTTTTTTCTTATCTTAAACGGACAAGTTGGCAAGATACTCTTCAGTTTTTGTTTTAGAATATGTACCTGTCTTTGGGGCTGTGTTTCCAGTGCAGAGCATCACATCCTCATACTGAAGGTCTTTGTTATTACAATATAAATAATTTCCTTTTTAGCATTTGAAATTAATTTTAGCGATAATTTTAATTGATAATTTTAGGGACTGGTCGCTTGTAACAAAGTCATTATTATGTAAATATATACATGAACGCATTTAAGTGCAGAAAAGCTACAGTGTTTTCGTTTTGCAAAACAAACGTCGTGTGTTGTACTCGAATTAAAAAACAGTTTTACGATTACAAAATAAAATGGACCGATTCACTCCCTTTTTGTAAAATACCTATACAGTATTTTTCTTGAGTTCATTTCCATAGATTATATTTAAAGAATCTTGCTATTTTGCATATATTTTAGCTTTTGTTCTTGAGGTGAAAAATGGGAACAACCATCCATTTATCTGTACCTGCTTCTTCCTTTTGGGGTCGTGGGGGTCGCTGGAACAGAGAACATGAAAACCTAACAGCTAGCAGAGATGGGTGCCATTCTCCACATTTTATGCTCTAGAAACTGATCCTGGCTTTAAGCAATCTGCATATTAATAAAAAAAAAAAGTAAAATTGTTGGACCTCTATGGAAATGTTGAACGATAAATTGAAGATGAGATTTCTTTACTTCCTGTATCGATCAGATTTAATTACATGCTGTTAGGTGTTTGCTTATCTAAAACGTTGCTACTCTCTTTTTTTTGGTCCACTTCACTTTCCTTCGTACTAACTAATGGAGGACCGTGCTCCTACATGCAGTGTCTTCATTACTAATGCAAACCCTTTTTAGCGTGCTTCTCTCAGCTTCTCGCCCCTAAGTGCCAGCTCTCGCATGTTTCAGAAGGAACTGAGAAAATGGGAAACGGCCCACGCAGTAATCCAAGGGTTGCCAAGGCAGCTGTGATTTTAGGCTTTGAGAAAAGGCTCGTGGAGACGGCTGGTAGTAAATGATCATATGAGGCAGTCATCTTGACTCGCCTAATGTTTTTGTGCATCGGCTTTATTTTGCTGTGCCAACTCAGTTATAGACCTCTGCTGAAGTGCCATATGCAAAGCAGAGTGTGTTCTGTGTGTGTCACGCTTTCCCCTCCACACTCACGTTGTCAGCAAAAGGGATCTTACTGGGTTTACGGTATGCCGCTTCAGCCTGTTGACATCAGCATTGCTATTGCTAGAGAGTTGGTGTGCATGCGTTCTTGAAGCTATTTGTGTGAAGGTGCACATTTTATTAGGCAGCATTGATCGTCGGCTGTAATGGGTTAGTGCAAGACAGAAACCTTCGCATGTTCCTGCAGTAAGACTTGTTGCAGGTTATACATTTAAAAAGTTGCTATTTTTGTGCTTGGTGTGTGGTTTCAGTACAATAATACCAATAACAAGGTTTTTGTTGCATTATCATTAGGTGTTTCTCAGAAACGGTGTAATTGACATTTCATTTAGTCCCTTTGTCAACGATTTATTAAATTTCCTGTCTTTGAAAAATTAGTGTTGTCAAGAGATTGCCTGCAGACTTCATAGTTATCTCTCGAGAGAGAACTGCAGCCAGTTGACCAGTCAGGGATTTTCAGTTATGTTTAAAAACTAAACCAAATTGAGCAGACTTGGACACAGAGTCTATTTGGAGGTTTTTCAAAGTTTAAATTTAGAAACTGTTGGTTTTATTATCTTACAGGCAGAGTATGAGTTACTTAAGTGTCATTTTCAAGCCATTAGGAGAGCCCCATACCTTTTTAAAGCTCGTCCAACCTGTTTATTTTCCACGGAGATCATGTGTAGGAGGAAGAGAATGACATCTTTCCATTCTTCCATGCACAGCATAAAGCTCTGACATGCAGCTTAAATGCTTTTCCAAGAATTTTTAAAACGTAAGTTTCACGATAAGCTTTCTAATGAAATTTCTCTAATAAAACACGTCACTGCTTACGCTCACACACGCACGTTGCCGCGTTGCGTAACCTTTGGACCAAATATGTTACTTAACTTTTTGCCTAAGGGGCTTTTGTAGCATGTGTGCTATTAAAAAAAAAAAAAAAGGAAATGGGCTATAGTAAAGGGCTCTTGTATATATTTTTTTACTTCCTGTAAAATATTCCTTTGGTGCAGTAGTTTCATAAGATAATTTTACCAACCTCCTTGTGTGTCAGTGGACGTGCAGATCGTTGTCTGATTACAGGTTTTACTAACCAACAAACTGCTAACTTCACTTGTCGCAGAGAGCAAGTGACAGAAACCCAGGCTCTGTTTGGGATATTTCTCTTGTAAAGTAAGATAGTTGTAGCGTTGCAAAACCTGCCATGGGGGAGGGCAACTTGGCATTTTAACTTTTGATTGATTGATTTTGTGAAGCTCATCACCTCCCAATGCATTTGGTGTAGACAGCTTTATGGTCTTTTTACTCAATTTAGCTGTTTTTTAAAACATTTTTTTAATTTTGCAGCACATGTATCCTCACATTCTTGTGATTCCTCTCTTAACTTTCTCTATTTACTACTGTTTTATGTTATTTCACTGTTTTACCGTCACATCGCTTGTCCTATTTATAGTTGTCTCCATGACGCAACTCTTATTGTGAGATAAAATATTATGCACAGCTCTAAAACACCTGTTCTATGTCTGTTTTAATGTTCTGCCCACAAATAATCGGGGGCAGGCGGTCGTTGCAACCCAGATCTATTTTAGGGACGCATAAAACAAACTGTTCTAGCCAGTTCTATATTTGTTATTTTACTCTTAACGGAGTGTAAGTTTGGACAATGGAGAGGCATGTTGTTGCTAAGATTAAGGATGGTTAAACGGACCTAATTCACGTTTTTAAAAAGATGTTTGTCACAAACTTAATGTTTAACTCTCCACGGCAATCTGACGTAAACTCTTTGCGTGTTGATGTCTTCGTTTCTAAGAGCTCGTGTCACTTTTTTTTTTTTTTTCAAAAACTCACTATGTGAAAGTGTCAGTTTCAAATGTTAGTAGTTTTTCATAAATATTTACAGATTTCAATATTGCATATAAATTATTTTTGGTGATTTGGATGCACCAAACCTGCTTATAATTGGAACCATACTGCGTCTGAGAGAGAGAGATGACAATTATAGAGCCTCTAAAATAAATTCAGTTGCATTATTTTAGGTGTTGTGTACTTGTACAATCTGTTATGCTGGTGAAGATTATCAGTCATCCAGGTTATATTCAATCTAAAAAAAATAAAATGCAACAACAACAACAAAAACCAACTGGATTTCTGTCCTAGAACAAAAGTCCCGTTGTCAAACTTTTTTGGATCTGACATGTTTTAACTACAGAATAGATTTAACAAAAATAATTAATACATCTTCGGTTGTATTGTTCATATTAGTAGAAATGAGTGTCTCTAGTCTTGTCTCTCTTAATTACCTGTTTAGATTAGGTCAGATGTCTTTTTGTATTTATTATAGGTCTGTTTGTATTCATTGTACTGTTGTGTATCTGCACTGTGTGTTGTTTTGTTGTGCACTGTATGTTCTGTGTTGCACTGTGATCCTGGAGAAAAGCTGTTGCGTTTCAATATGTACTTGTACGTAGCTGAAATGACAATAAAACCACTCTGACTCTGAAATAAAAACATCTCTCTTCCTTGTAGAGGAAACCTGTCAGCAGTAGTATCACAGGAGTCGGTAGTTTTGTGTTGAGTTGAATGCTAGCCTGAGGCTCCGTCAGCAGTTTGAAAGAAAATTCCTGTTTTATAACATTAGTGACTTGTTTTCCTTGGGTGGAGGTAAAGTTTTAAAGGTGGTAATTTGCATCAGAAAGCTGATCAACTCTCAGATGATGCGTGTGTTCACCTGTTTGAAAAATAGATTACAGCTCAGGAAAGGGATCAGATAGACACGGGATTTTGATACGGTTT